TAATAATAATAATACTACCTAGGTATCCAATGGGACATAATACAATTGTATGTACATTAGGTATCTATTCCAACCTTGGAACCTTCCAAGGTTGGAGAGCTTGTGCTGACTAAGACTTCGACGAGACCGCGAGAGATCAAGTTCAAACATCCAACGCGCTCTCACCGCCAGAGTCTACGATAGCTTCCTTCTTTTTTTGTCCCCTCAAATTTCGTGCTTTTTTTTTACTGCCTTCAGTATCTGGTAAGCCTTGACCTAAACTCACATTCCCTTCCCCTTAGTCCCTCTGTCCAATCATTTCTCGTCCTGACAACGTGCTGACCCCCAAGACCCCTCTAAGGATCTCTACCCCCACCGAACACACTTGCTTCTCATTCCCCTCTATCATTTGATACTGCCCTGCAGCCGCCCTGGCACCACCATATCCTGTCCAGGCGGTTCCCATCATCCTCCACCCTTGATTCTCGTGTCTCAACCCCCATTCCGTCATCAGAGGCGACATCGCCAGCCTCCGCCGGGATGTCGATTTCGGTACAAGAGCTGGACAACACGGTCCGAGCTTTGTTTGAAGGCAAAGGTGCTGTGGTAAGTTAAACCTTCTGCTCTATACAGCTTGGATTGCAGAATTCATGGATTCTCTATACCCCTCAGTGAAGATTTGGTACAACACTGACACTGATAACCACCTCTAGCAAAACCAAGCACAGCAGACTTTGACAGAAGTAAGCGCGCAGCCCTTCCACAACGTCGTCTGAATTGAAAGCTAATCATTCCCGTGCTCTTCAGTTCAAGCAAAATCCCGATGCCTGGGTCACCGTGGGCAATATCCTCCAAGAGGCCTCATACCTTCAAACCAAATGTGTGTTTTGAGTGGCAACATCCCCCTATGCGTTGAAATTTCTGGGAGGAAAAAGAAAAGGAGTTGCTGACTTTAATAGACATTGCTCTCCAAGTCTTGGACAATGTGATTATGACCCGATGGAAGGTTCTACCGAGAGACCAATGTCAGGGTAAGAACTATAGTGACAGCGTGATTCTGCCTCCCGCCCATACTAATATTATCCATCATAGGTATCCGCAATTTTATTGTGAGATTTATTCTCGAGAATTCCGAATCTGAAGAAAAAATCCAAGCGGAGCGCCCTCTATTGAACAAGCTCAATCTCGTTCTCGTCTCCATTCTGAAGCAAGAATGGCCGCACAACTGGCCCACCTTCATCAACGAGATCATCTCTTCTTGTCATGCCAGCCTTTCGATCTGTGAAAACAACATGACAATTCTCCGTCTGTTGTCGGAGGAAGTCTTCGATTTTTCGCAAGATCAAATGACTTCCGCCAAGGCACGGAATTTGAAGACCTCCATGACCTCGGAATTTGCGTCGATCTTCCAATTGTGCTCCGAGGTTCTTAACACTGCAAACCAACCTAGTTTGGTGAAAGCGACCCTCGAAACTCTTCTTCGATTTTTGAACTGGATCCCGTTGGGATACATCTTCGAAACCCCTATCATCAACACTCTCCTCACCCGATTCCTGGGAGAGCCCGAGTTCCGAAATGTGACTTTGAAGTGTCTGACTGAGATTGGTGGCTTGCAAATTGGCGCTCCTTACAACTACGACGAACGATTGGTGCACATGTTCACCGAGACCCTCACGACCGTTTCCAATGTCATTCCTCTGTCCCTGGACCTGAAGCAGACATATGCCATGAGCAACGGACGAGACCAAGAGTTTGTATCAAACTTGGCCTTGTTCCTCTCGAGCTTTTTCAGTGCTCATCTGGATGTACGCTCCTCCTTTTCTTCAACGCCATGTTTTTTTTTTTTTTGCTGACGTTCTGCTTTCTTTCATAGCTTATCGAGAAGTTGCCCAACCAAGATTACCTCACGCACGCTCATTTCTACCTGATTCGGATCAGCCAGATCGACGATCGGGAAGTGTTCAAGATTTGCTTGGACTACTGGACAAGGCTCGTGCAAGAACTTTACGAAGAGATGCAACAGCTCCCAATTACCGACATCAACCCGCTGGTATCCATGAGCGTTAGTGGGTTGGCGAATGGTGGTGCTCCCAATCCCACTACCCTAGCGAACTATCCTTTGCGCAAGCACAAGTACGAGACTGTGTTAACAAACCTCCGCACCGTGATGATCGAGAAGATGGTCCGCCCAGAAGAGGTCTTGGTTGTCGAAAACGATGAGGGTGAAATTGTGCGCGAGTTTGTTAAGGAAAGTGACACCATCCAACTTTACAAGACGATACGTGAATGCTTGGTCTACCTGACCCATCTTGATGTGGTTGATACGGAGACCATTATGATCGATAAACTGGCCAAGCAAGTTGATGGAACCGAATGGTCCTGGGTGAACTGCAACACGCTTTGCTGGGCTATTGGTTCTATCTCTGGAGCCATGAACGAGGAAACCGAGAAACGTTTCCTGGTAACCGTAATCAAGGATCTTCTTGGCCTCACAGAGCAGAAGCGCGGAAAGGACAACAAAGCTGTGGTGGCGAGTAACATCATGTACATCGTGGGACAATACCCCCGGTTCTTGAAGGCTCACTGGAAGTTCCTGAAGACGGTCGTCAACAAGCTCTTTGAGTTTATGCACGAGACACACGAAGGTGTCCAAGACATGGCTTGCGATACGTTCATCAAGATCGCCAACAAGTGCAGACGCCATTTCGTGGCACTCCAACCTGGTGAAAGCGAACCTTTCATCGAAGAAATTGTCCGAAATATGAGAAAGATCACGATGGACCTCTCTCCGCAACAGATCCATACTTTCTATGAAGCCTGTGGCTACATGATCTCAGCGCAAGGTCAGAAGGGTCTCCAAGACCGCTTGACCGAGAACTTGATGGCGCTCCCTAACACCGCCTGGGATCAGATTATTGCGGAGGCAAACCAAAACCCCGCGATTTTGCAAGATGCTAACACGATCAAGATCGTCGGAAACATCATGAAGACTAATGTTGCAGCTTGCTCTTCAATTGGTACCTACTTTTATTCTCAGATTGGCCGGATCTATCACGACATGTTGAATATGTACCGTGCTGCCAGTCAGCTGATTAATGATGCTGTTGCTAGTGATGGTAAGTAACCCAATTCACCGTTGGTGAACAGCCGAAAATTTTTTCCCCCTTTGACTGACACACAAACAGGAGCCATTGCACCGAAAACCCCCAAGGTCCGAGGACTTCGGACCATCAAGAAAGAAATCTTGAAGCTCATTGACACCTACGTGGACAAGTCAGATGACCTTGAGATGGTCAATGCCAGCATGGTACCGCCACTTATGGAGGCTGTACTGATTGATTATGCCCGGAACGTCCCCGATGCACGCGAGGCTGAGGTCTTGAATGCCATGACTACGATCATCCACAAGCTTCACGTATGTTGCTTCTTCCTTGTTTTGACTTGATGACTGGCAATGCCCTTTTATTCAATGGCCTGACACGTCGCATACTTGCACCTTGCTAACAAGTTAATTAGAATCTGATGGAGGATAAGATTCCAGCCATCATGGACAGTGTTTTCAACTGCACTCTTGAGATGATCAACAAGGACTTCCACGAATACCCTGAACATCGGGTTGAGTTCTTTAAACTGCTTCAAGCTGTCAATCTGTACTGTTTCCAGGCGCTTTTGAAGCTCGATGCTGCGCAGTTCAAGTTTGTCATCGATTCATGCATGTGGGCATCAAAGCACGACAACCGCGAGGTGGAGAACACTGGTCTTACAATGTGCCTGGAGCTGATGAACAACATGGCCGAAACTGACCAGCAGACCTCGAGTATTTTCTTCCGCGAGTTCTACATTCCAATTCTCCAGGACGTCTTCTTTGTCCTCACAGATAGTGACCATAAAGCTGGTAAGTAATGTCCTTTGTGTTTGGTATGAAAAATGAAGCTTACAACATGGTCTTCTAGGATTCAAATCCCAGGCTATGCTTTTGTCGCGCATGTTTTACTTTGTGGAATCAGGCAAAATCCAGGAGCCCATCTACTCCCCCGATCAAGCCCCGGCTGGAACTTCAAACAAAGACTTTTTGCAGGAGCACATCGCAAATCTGCTCAAGAATGCATTCGGTAATCTTCAAGAGTAAGCTCCCTCGGCGTCGATTGAAATCATGCAAGACCGTACTGACTTTTTCCCACCAGAGCACAAATCAAGCAGTTCGTTCTTGGACTGTTTGCATACACTGATGACTTAAACAAATTCAAGACTCACCTTCGTGATTTCTTGATTTCTCTGAAAGAATTCTCTGATGACAACGCGGAGCTGTATGCCGAAGAACGGGAACAGGCGGTGCGTGATGCCCAGGTCGCTGAGCGCGATCGAGCTATGAAGGTCGGAGGTCTGTTGAAGCCATCGGAGATGGATCATGAGGATGAGCTATGACTGGATCAAGAACTGCGTGCTGAGTTTGTTGCTGCCTCTACTGGTTCCCCTGGACATGAGCAAGAACCAAGGTTGACCTGGAATGACGGCCTTGACGGCTGGTCCTTCTACGAGCTCTAGATCATGGGAAGCCATGTGTTGCTGCAACATGGGAGGCTTTGCTCTGGAAAGATGTGTGTGAATTTATCCTTTTATCTTTTCTTTTTTTTTTTATCACTCCCCTTGGCTATTGAGCATGCGACATAAACCCATTTCCTGTCTGAACGGGTTGAGATTGGTGCATCACGGCTCTACACGGAACAGAATTCCCAATTTCATCTGTGTACTTTGCCTATTCAAGGCGTGAGCTTGTTTGATAGCTTTTAACGTCAAATGATTTAAAAAAATATTTCCAATTCAAAGATACAAACAGTGTATAGGTGATAACTGCCTTAACTTCATTGAGGCCTATGCTATATTATCGTATGTACATGTGGAGAGATCGGAAGGCGGTGAATCCTTATCAGTTGCATCATCAGAAAAAGTACCTAGGTAGTGATTTTATGCTTCTTTGCTTCTTTGAGCCCTTTTAGCTCACGTCACTCTATTCCATCACAATGTCTCGAACACGCCAACCAATGGCGTCAAATCTGTTCCAAACCACCACAGAGTCCCCACAAGACTCCTCAACTGCCCACATTCCCACAACCCTCAGATTACGGGCTGAGGAAGCACCTACTGATGCCAGCGAAGCAACATCGTCTTCTCGGCGAATCAGATGGAGTGAAGATGTTGTAGACAACGAGGGCATGGGAAAAAAAGAGTTCAAAAGGTATGGTTCTAATTTATCTATTCTCTTTCACCCCGATCATTCTCCGCAACCAGCAACAATCTAACGGCCCCCAGTATGCTGCATCTACCACAAAGCTCGGCCAGTGGGAGAAAGTAGCTCAGAAGAATCTTCATCCAGCTCATCTGAGAGTGACAGCGAGAGTGAAGACGACCGTCGCACCGCCAGAGTCAACCGGGCTCGCCACACACACTCACACAACGGAGAGGCGGGAACCCCACGGCGAGCACGCGTCCCACCCCGACGAAGGGTGTTGCCCCGAAGACCACGGCTCTAAACCGAAACGCAATCGCAGGAAGCCGAGTCCGAATGCATATGAGAAGATGCCTAAGCCGTCGAAGAATCCGAAGCAGAACCAAAATCATGCGCGCGGTACTTGATATTGTTTTTGGGGCTTTTCCGATTGGTAAGGCAATGCAAGACAAGGAGATGAGGCGGAACTGAGCAAATCTTGGGCTAAGGCTTTCTGGTTGGGCTCCGATGCACAGCCATACGAATCATCTTGGCTGAGGTCGTATATTCTACCCCCTCCCTTTGTGTGTGATATGTGACAGATCTATGTCTATGCGCAGTGTGTATGACCTTTGCACGACGCTGGGAAAGAGCCACTCAAATCCGGTGCGTGGCATGCAGGAAAAGGTATAATGTGGCATGACCTTTGACAGAGTCGGAGGGGAAGGACATGTCAGATCCATTTACGGTGCGCTGCATCCGATGCGACGGTTGAATGGTCATTGAAAGAGCTACTTTTACTTGGCCTACTTGAAACACGTAGAGGGCGTTGGGTAAACAAGATAATGAAATTTGTATTGAGAAGATAGGGGTCGCAGTGAGGGGGTATCTGAAACATAACTGCAGCCCGGTCCGGTCTATAATTGTACATAGGCAAGGATAGAGAAATCCTGTTACTGGGAAGCGCTAAAGTGAACCTTCATACCATCATGCTTTTTCTTCTTGCAGCAACGCGCTGGCCACGTCTGACGTCATTGGTGTCCATTGTCGAACTGTTTGGTCCCGGCCCAAATGAGTCCTCGTCTTCTGGAGAGTCACCAGTTGGGGATTGCAGGTCAACCTGGTCCACATCGTATTGTGCCATGTTTCCAGTTGTACTCTTGGGGTTTGACGAGTGACGTCGAGTCTGACGCCTTGAATTTAATGGCTTTTGAGACACTTGGGCCGAGATATCTGCGAGGCTGTCCTCAATCTCATTCTTGAGGCCAGAACTTGGATTCGCCGCATCGTTGTCGTCCTTTGGGTTCGCTGACACCTTGCGTTTTCTCCGGGAGACCATTGCTAGCAGCTGTTCTGAAGATCCATCTGCGGAGAACAGATCTGAGCTCTGCGCCAGAGTGAAATCAGCTGGGAGGCTGCCATGAGACTGGGTGTGGCCACCCTCTCCTCCACCGTCCAAGCTTTCTCGACTTGCCTGGAAACTAGAGGACCTTCGCGATCCAAGTGCAACAGCATCGATCATTTCCTTGGTAGGGCGGCGCATCTTGTCCCGGAGGTTAGGCTCTGCATAGCTAACCACAGCACCACGACGCCGGGAAGGCCGAACTGCAGATTCTTCCTCCGTCTTCATTGCGTTCGGATGTGGTGACATTGCTGGCTGGTGTGGCGTTGGCTCATTTAGCTGGGGAGGGGCAAACTGATTGGCGCGCTTTTCTTTGTTTGAAGGGGCGATTCTGGACACGCGCGGCTTTTGATTGACAGTCTTGCCACCGATTTTCTCGACATCCTTCACTTTCTGGGGCGAGTTGCTATTCTCGTCACCCTTAGTGGACATTTGCAGAAGCTTAGAGTCCTGGTGCGAAGACATGCGGGCCTTCTTGGGAGAGCCTAGATTTGAATTTGCACTCTCTGATCCGATTGTTAGCTACACCCATTGTAGGGGTCGAACTAAGAGTCTGCAGAACATACTTGGCTCGAGGACCTTCCGCATAGACAAGACGGGAGTTTTTGAACCTCTTGTCACCTCGACCTGGCTTTCAGTGAGTGACTGGTCTCGCTGTGTATCTTCGAATGGTGTTGTTCGCTTTTTGGGGCTGTGACTGGGCCGGGTGAATTGGAATTCGTCATCGTCGGCAATAAGGTTGGGTGCGAATCTGTCATCGTCTTCGGGTGTGTATTTGCGCTTTGTTGAAACCGATTTTGCATGCTGAGTAGTATTGATGGGTGGACTTGGCTGCCGATCTGTTTGCGCGGGGCTAATTTCTGGCGCAACAATCGAACCTGGGTTCTTTTTCTTCTTGCGTGTCTCGAGGGTTGGAGGAAGTAAAGGCTCGGGTTCTTCGGGTTCTTCGGGGGTATCCTTTCCTATTTGGCTCCTGAATGTTGATTCTGGTGGCGATGGACTTGAATGTTCGATGCGTGCATCCCCTTCCTCCGGCATAAAGCTGAACTGTGGCGGAGAATCTAAAATGCTGTGGTCGTCATGGACCAGGCTATTGAGCTCCTGGGGCCTGGAGGAGGTGTTAGCAACTTGGAGTGGCCAAAAAATATGGAACGTCCTTACTCTAGAGTCCGCCGAGGATAATATTTGTCCTCAACAATGGCAGGGAGCCTTCCATCTTCGCCTTCCATCATGCCTTCTGTCCTAGGTCTGGACTCCGCCTGCTTTGGCCTATCGAGCTGATCGTCGCAGAGCTTGCCCACCTTGCGGGGCAACGAACCCAAATCTGCCGCCAAATTGCTCAACTCGGCTAGTTTGGCATCTAGCTTGTGTTTGATGTCGTATATTCCACTGTGCAGCATTTTCCCTGCTTCCAATCTTTCGGTTTCCTGGGTGAGATTGATGACCTGTTTGCGAAGCGACACATTCTCCGAAAGTAGATGCGATACTTCTGACTCTAGGCTGCGAATACGGAGAGATTGCAAGGAATTCACCCTTGCGATCTCGCGGTTTTGTCGCACAAATCGTCGCTTCACTGGATAGAAATCAAGAGGCCATATGTCAACTGCTAACTCGAACGTTGTAAAATAGCGGTATATTGCGCAAACTTACACGCATCAATGGACTCGGCAGGAGCCGCATAGTCATTCAACCGAGCCATGGTGTAGACTGGGGGCAGCGACCACTGCGTAATTAGATAGATTGGAAGACAATCCTGGTGTGCAGGTAGAATGAACTTGGATGTAGTATCGAGTCCACAGATTACACACCAGGAAAACGACTATGTTTTGTTTAGGGTTAAGTTCTGAGTATGGAGATACAAAGAGAGAGAGAAGGTAAACAGCGACGAATGCCAAGCCCTTGTTGATGTTTGTCTGCTTTTGGTTTAGCTTGGCTTGTGTTTGGATGACTCAGCACCCCTCCTGGCCAAGGCCAGGAGCCCAAAGTTGGACTTTTGAGGGATCGTGAGAGATCGTGAGAGATCGTGTTCTTCGTAGCTTCTTCTCCCGCTACCATAATGGCATACTCATCACGACCAACATCAATGCTCCCAGGTGCTCCTGGTGGCTCATCTATGCGCCAGCCCAGTGGTTCGCAATCGCAGCAATCGTCGGCGCTGTCGGCCCGCATTGCAGCCAAAAAGGCGGAGCTGGAGAACCTGCGACAACTACGTGATCTGAGTGGAACATTGGCGATTCAGATGCAAGCTTTGGATAATAAGATCTCCACGCTGAAAGATGGCACCGAAGGTTGGTCTACCTGTCCCTTGATTCGAGGCTGATCGCTAACTGTACCCTGTTAATTAGCTGTTGCATACGTGCTTTCCAACTGGGATAACGTTCTTAGGGCCATTACTCTCGCCTCGAGTAAGTACAATGTACTTTCCAAACTTTTGGAATTCCATACTGATTTTTATCCTGTAATAGACAAGGCAGGCGGACTCTATGAACCTACGGAGTCGGATAGTAAGAATGTGGAGAAACCACGCAACGACGCTCGTTTGCCATCAACGCTGGTTCGCATTCCAGCTGAGCCACGTGATAAGACGGGCGAGTGAATCGGCCAGTGACATCTCTCTCTCTCTCTCCCTTCGACCCCGGCCGAAACACCGTGAATGATCTCATCTTTTGCGGCACACCCGAACCATCTGTGGAAGTTTGATAGGCCCATGCACTCGTAATTTCTCTCCGGGTTTATCTCGCCAATATGTGTATCGGCCTACAGAATTGGCGATTGCATTTCGAGAATGCCCTCGGACCTAGTTGGCCCATGTCGATATGACTTGGTGGCCGTTCCCAGAACAGAAGACTATCAGACGAAGGGCAGATTGCTTCGAGATCTATCTAGGTAATCATGGGGCTTCCAGTCATGTTTCGCCGGAAGCATCTGAGAATCGAAGATAATCCATTTCTCGCGTGACCAACTGATTTCTATGCAGATTTTGGTCCATGCAATAAATATGGTTATCTCGAAATGGTGGACAAATCAGAAAAGGATTAAGATTATTTCTTTCCCCCCCAGTTTTAGTTCCTTTTGAAACTTCTGCACTACTGCAAAGACAATCATACAGGAAGAGCTGCATACCTTGGTAGCAAGGAATATAGGACGATGTGATTGGTGATAAAGAGGCTACAGTACGGAGTACGGAGTACATGGGCAAATAGTTACAAGTTAATAGAGTCAAGGTTCAGGCATCATGAGACGGAGACTGAAAGAGGAAAATTCATCTTACCATTTCGAGGTTCCTGCAGATTTTTAGGGGCAAAAAAGGCGAACGGACTCTTGGGACCTATTTAGGTACCTACATATGTATGTTTTGGTGGATTTTAAGTACATGTGCCTGAAATAATACTTAACTTGAAAGTACTTCTATTAGTGGATTACATATAAACTATATAGCGTTATAATACATTAGGTACTTATCTACGGAGTACAGAGTACCTCGATACCTTACATCTTTTTTTTCCTTTCTTTTTTCTTTTAAGCGCCCGAAGCACAACAAATTCCCCTCTTTTTCCTTGTCAACGTGCACTTCCATTGCATTTCATTGCACTTCATTCGACATGCGCGATTATATTTCCCCGCAATAGCCGGGCTGTTGGTTTTTATTTTTATTCTTTTTCCCTCTTTTCCTTTTTTTTTTTAAGGACCTCGTTGCCCATTCCATTGCGTGGTATGGCATGATCGCTGTGTGACACTTCAACAATGTCAGTTTTATGAGGTGATTAGGCTTCTTTACTTCTTGACTACTTGACTACTTGACTACTTGACTACTTGACTACTTGACTACTTGACTACTTGACTACTTGACTGCTTGACTGCTTGATTGCTTGACTGCTTGACTGCTTGGCTTCTGAGCTTTGATCTTTCTCTTCCCTTCTATAATCCTCGTTATCCTCTCTCCAAGTATCTCAATCTTTCACCTTTGCAACCTTTCCAACGTCCTAACCTCAATTTCATCTATAATTACCCTTGACCTGAGAACACCGTTTCTCTCATATACCATGTCGACTGAATGGTCTTTGGACTTCTGTTTGGTCTGTGACCGTCAGACCCTGGGCGCTCCCTACTGCTCCCAAACATGCCGCCTAGCAGAGCTGGACGAGGTATCGGATGGGATGTCACGAAGATCGAGCGCAGCGTCTACACATTGGTCTGAGATCAACCAGGCCCAAGCTCGAGCCGCAGCTGTCAACGCAGACACCCATAACCCATCTCGGATTCTATCTGTCTCTTCATCTCAAACCTCACTCTCTTCGCTGAAGAGCAACACATCCACTTCCTCCAATGTGGCCGACCGGCTCCAAGATGAATTGCGCGATTACGCATCTTGCTTCGACCAAGTTCGCGACCTGAAACGGCGCATGACTACCACATGATTCCAATTCGGACTCGAACCCGGACTCGAAAATTGTGTTTCTCGAGTTCCATCGTCCCACATCTGGATGATACCGTGGGCACCCAAATGCATGCAGCCCTCATTCTGCTCTCTCATAATTTGCATACACTGCGACACAGGCGTCATTGTTGGAAAAGATATATTATGTTCTTGTCTATTTTTCTTTTTCTGTTTTTCTTATGGATCAACCCACTTTGGTTTTTCTCACGAACCTATACCCCCTAACTGTTATATATATATGTCATGATCATCGGAAGGAGTTGAATCCAGGCGAAGGTACCTTGACCTAATTAGTTATCTACCAGACTGCCCATAATAAGACTTGGAATTTTGGAAGATACATTCTTATTTTTATATTTTTTTATATTTTTTTGAATAGAAAAAAAAAAGAAAGTAGGAAAAGATGTTGACGTTCTCAATAGATCGCCAAGGCCCAAGCCTTGACTGGGCTAAGTGTGTCATATCAATTTCCCACCTGGGCACGTCAAGGTGGGTACGAGGAATGTGTCCGATGTTAAACCGGAAATGCTGAATATATCAAATTAGAACCACTCGACTCCTCCGCAAAGCTGTATGGAACCAGCAATCTGAAATGCAAGAAGCACGGGCTCTAGGCCAATATTGCCATATATCCGGGTATCCCCCGGATTTGGCTCTCTGCAGAAGCAAATCCCTACCCCAAATAGATGCCACCATGTGATGTGGCACCATTCACTGCGCAAGAACCTTCGACAGAGCCTTTTCATTCTTCGGCACAAATCGGACCTTATATTTTTGAGGAATGGCCACCAAACTAGTCGGATCCGAGTTACCCCGGATAGGGTGACAGTCTGTTTTGTCATGAGGTTCGAGGCGGAAGCTGTTGAGGGTGCGGATGAAGACAAGGTAGAGCTCACGATTGGCTAGCAGTGACCCGGCGCACATCCGGTAACCCATACCATACGTAAAGAGAGGCGCGTCGGGCTGCTCGAGCCATCGCTCGGGACGGAAGTCATCCGGATCAGTCCACACGTCGGGGTCTATGAAGGGTTAGATGGTGTTCGGGTGTCTATTGCCCAGGTAGAATATCAAGCTTGACTCACCCATGTTGCATGCCCAGGCATTCAAAAAGAACACTGTGCCCTTGGGAATGGTGATCCCCTTATAGGTGATATCTTTGATTGAAGTGCGAGGAAGTGCCAATCGCAGTACAGTGAAGAATCTAGGGTATCGTGGTTAGTCCAGCGTCCAGTCATAGCCAGTTGGCTGCAATGGAACTAGTACATACCGAAGACATTCCTTGACCAGAGCTGCAATGTACTCACACTTCTGATCATCGTTAGGAGAGCACATAGGTTCATCCTCGCCATACATCTCCTGGATGGCCTTGGCCGCCCGATCCTGAATATCAGGACGTTGAGCCAGCAAACCCAGACTCCACGCAACCAAAGTGGTGACAGTGTCAAGGCCACCAGAAAGCATAGTCAAGCTAATCGACGTCAACTCCTCACTGTTCAGCTTAGCTTCCTTATCCATAATAACGTTCGCCTGAATACAAGGCTTATGTGTCCCCTTTGCCATGCGATCATCTAAGTCACTATTAAGCGCACCGAGGTACTTATCACGACGCCTTCTCATCTCGGCGGCTTTCTTCGAGTTGGAGCTAAACGGGTTCAACCGCAGAAGAGGGATATAATCCTGCAGGTTTCCGGTGGTGCTTCGGAACCGACTGATCTCTTCCTCCACCTCGGTGATCTCATCGAACAATTCCTCTTCCTGTGAGGCGATACGCACGCCCCAGTTCAGAGTCAATGCCAAACTCAAGCTCAGACGCTGGATCATGGGCATGGGATCGACGGGTGTCTTCCCGTGGTTTCCATATCTGTGCAGCTCTTCCACAAAGGCCTTTGACTCGACGTCCAAGTGTGACACGTACGTATCGACAGAGGGCCGGTTGAGAGCCGACGCGGCGCCCTTTCTGCGTCTCTTCAGGGAGTCGCTATATGGCGAGGTGCCGATAGTTGTTCCGGCAGTATTGGAAACAATCTATATAGGTTTCGTCAGTCTTACTACAGAAAAAGGGGGGCGGGGGAACAAAAGAAAAAAGACAAAAAGACAAAAAGCCTGCACATGACACAACTCCGATAACCAACCTTATGGAAAGTATAAGTCTCGGGCCTAGAGCTCAAAGCCTGCGCATTCTGACCGAAGAGTACTTTTGCCGACGCAGCAGAGTTGACCACGACGACGGGGATGTTCCCCAGCTGGATCTGATAAACGGCGCCGTGCTTTTTCGACCAGAGGCGATACTGCTCCGCGGCATCCGTGCGAATCTGGGCCAGGTTTCCAATCAACGGCAATCCGCGTGGACCTTTCATACCCTTGACGCGGGCGGCATCACGAATGAACTCATTAAGTATGACATAGAGGATGGGGACGAGGACGGCTGCGGCGGCTAGTGAGTGGTAGGGATACTCGATCACACTGCCTTGTAGCGACGCCAGGGCAGCGGCGATAGCCATGGTGCTGGATGGGTATGGGATAGATATTGACTTTGATCTATACAAAGATAATCATCGACGTATCAGGGCTTGAGGGGATATATAAATATGTGAGTATCACAGCCCTAAGCGTCGAGGCTTTCACGGTATGGAACATTTCCGTGCGATGGCCTCTCTCGGTGTCCTTTTTACCCCACACTACCCCAGGTCTTGCCAGGTCGCAGGTCTTTTGCAGACAGACGGGCGATGTGCTCAGCCGAGGGCATTCCGCACCGCGGAAACCTTCCGCTTGACACTGATGCCATATAACTATAACTCACCTGGGCATGCATGAATGCATCAAGGTTAGTTTTATATAAGTGTATGTTGTATACCTACGGGGTACTCCGTAGGTATACTATAGTTGGTGGTTGTCCTCGTCAAATTGAATACCATGTTTAAAGAGATGGTATAAAGGCCCCTATTTATTGAGTGGACTTGGGATACGCTAACAGAGATACTGATTTCGCTATGTAGATTATTTCTAAGGGGGATTTTCTCTTCCGGAGTATTTATATCAGAAACCCTTTTTAGTTTAAATAGTACTTTATATAGTCGTTTATAATAATATGATATGATGGTCCAGACCACGCTATTGTTGCATAAGGGGCTAGTGAAGATCATATCCACTTGCGCAAGGACTTGAGACCTTCTAGAAAGAAGAGCCGCATTAAAAGTTTTCCCAAATTTGGAAAATTCCATATGTTCCATATGTTGTACAACATATGTCAACATTTGGGACTCTCAGTGATAACATTCCTGACCAAAACCGGAATCCAGAGGGATTGGCATAGTGGGGCCAAGGATAAAAAGCAGGATAAAAAGCAGAAGAGAATAAGAGAGAAGGGGAATTGAACAAATTCCAAGTGGAGTCAGAGCAGGACCTTAAAGCAGGACCTAGGTAGATCCCAAGGTGTTCATAAACGGGTCCCCCTGGTCTCCGTGGGCCCGGATGGGGCGAGATAGCAATCCCTGACTGGTCAATTGTTTCAATGGAGCTCGACAGTCAGGTGGCCACGAAGAGATTGATCGAGTCCAGACCCTTTGAAGATAGATCTACAGAGATAAAACGCGTCGGGGAAAACAGAATCGGCTTCCCGATATTTATATTATACCTGAAAAGCATTGTAATCTCTAAGGGGAAATTGAACGAGAACTTGAGAGCTGGAAAGGGAAAAGTTGGGAAGCTCTCTGGTGGAATTGAAAGGAAATTTCTTTCACGTCATGTGTCGGAGTAGAGACCCGGGGATGATCCCCTGGCCAATTGGGGGAATTGAGAGAGAATCAAGGCAGGTAAGTCCCCCCCATCCCCATCTGGAGTCCACCGATGCTCCAATCGTGAGCTGCCCTGCTCCCATGACGCAGAGCTCTTGTACTCGTGACACCCCTGTATTCACAGTGGAAGGTGTAGCGATCAGCTATCTCAGGTATTCTGGGTCCCTCCGTACCTTGAAGATTGTCGCAAATCTTGCCTTTCATAGATCTGTTGTTATATTTACTCCGTGCCTTGATATTCTTTAAAAAAAAAAAAGGGAAATTGTCACTGTGGTTGTCTTCCCGCCTCTCGCCTCCCCTTCACTTATTCCTCTCTGAATTCCTCTCTTCATCTCCTCTTCATCTTCTCTCCCCCCCTAATCATCCTTCATATTCCTCTTTTCGCACATATTCTTACGGAAAAAAAAAATCCCGGCATATTTGAAAATCTAATCACATTACATCCATTACATCCATTACATCCATTACATCACCGTACATTCGGAAAAACCGCAGATCATGGCCGCTCGGCACTCGCGCAAGCTCTTGAGACCTCTCCTCTACACATCCGCTGCCGCTGCCGCAGGAGCAGGTGTTCTCTACATTTCTTATCGTCCGCGAAATATTCCGGGCCTCGAAGCCCCGGCCGTTCCTCCGCCAGGTTACCGTGAAGGCAAACTGGTTCCACCCAGTTTCCCTTCAATCAAGTCTCGCCTCGATCAGATTCAGGACCTTAAGCGCAGTAACGACGAGGAGGAATATGACCTGCTCATCATTGGTGCCGGAGCCACTGGAGCTGGTATCGCACTAGATGCCGCCACCCGAGGCCTGAAGGTCGCGGTGGTGGAGAGAGATGACTTCAGTTCGGGTACTAGTAGTAAGAGTACCAAACTGGTACACGGTGGTGTCCGTTACCTTGAAAAGGCTGTGTGGGAGTTGGACTACAATCAGTGAGTTTTTCCTTTTCCTTTTTTCGTTTTTTTTTAATATTTTTTATTTTTTTCTCCTGCACTTTTTGTATTTCCAATTGGGAACATTTTGAAGTCAAAATCACCGCATCCTGGGCATCCCTGCTAATATTGGCATCGCAGGTATGCGCTAGTCAAGGAGGCTCTCAGGGAGCGCAAGTATTTCTTGAACACAGCTCCCCATCTGTCATCATGGCTGCCAATCATGGTGCCTGTTCAGAAATGGTGGCAGGCTCCCTATTTCTGGGCCGGCACCAAGGCCTATGACTTCTTGGCTGGTTCCGAGGGCATTGAGACCTCGTACTTCCTAACCAAGAGTAAGGCCATTGACGCGTTCCCCATGCTGAAGCGTGACGACATCATTGGGGCAATGGTCTACTATGGTACGTAGCGAACGCGGAGTCTGCGAAGAAATGATTTTGGCTAATTTTCGTTAAGATGGTGCGCACAATGACTCCCGCATGAACGTCTCTCTCGCCATGACCGCTGCGCTCTACGGTACCACCGTAGTGAACCACTTGGAGGTCACTGGACTGAACAAGGATGCATCCGGTAAGCTGTGCGGTGCGCGCGCCAAGGACCTCGTCACAGAGAAGAACGGCCAGGTCGCCCAGGAGTTCAACATTCGCGCCAAGGGTGTCATCAACGCCACTGGTCCCTTCTCTGATTCCATCCGCAAGATGGACGAGCCCGATGTCAAGGAGATTGTGGCCCCCCAGTGCTGGTGTCCACATCATCCTGCCTGGTTACTTCAGCCCCTCAAACATGGGTCTAATTGACCCTTCCACATCGGATGGACGTGTGATCTTCTTCCTGCCGTGGCAGGGTAACACCATCGCTGGTACCACGGATCAGCCCTGTGAGATCGAGGCCCAACCCCAGCCCACTGAGAAGGACATCAACTGGATTCTTTCGGAGATCCGTGGCTACATCGCTCCGGATATCACCGTGGACCGAAGCGACGTCCTGGCTGCCTGGTCTGGTATCCGTCCCTTGGTGCGCGATCCCAAGGTGAAGAACTCGGAGGCTCTCGTCCGAAACCACCTGGTGACCGTCTCTCAGTCTGGACTGTTGACTTGCGCCGGTGGTAAGTGGACCACTTATCGCCAGATGGCCGAGGAGGCCGTGGACGAGGCGATCAAGGTGTTCAAGCTCAAGCCCCGCCAGCTCAGCACCCTTCCCGACATCAGTGGTGTCGGTGGCAGTGGCCTGGTTGCTGACGGTGCCGTTCTCGACGGTAGCTGCCAGACCCACCAGGTGCGCCTCATCGGTGCCCACGGTTTCTCCAAGACCCTGTTCATCAACCTTATCCAGCACTTCGGTCTGGAGACCGACGTGGCCAAGCACCTCACCGAGTCGTACGGTGACCGCTCATGGCAGGTCGCTGCCTTGTCTTCCCCTACCAGCGAACGTTTCCCTGTGCGCGGCCACCGCATCTCCCCCATGTATCCCTTCATTGATGGCGAGGTCCGCTACGCCGTTCGTCACGAGTATGCCCAAACCGCCGTCGATGTGATTGCCCGCCGCACCCGTCTGGCTTTCCTGAACGCCGAGGCCGCTCTCGAATCCCTCCCCACCGTGATTGACCTGATGGGTGAGGAATTGGAGTGGACTACTGCCCGCAAGGAACTTGAGTGGAAAGATTCCTTGACTTTCCTTTCGTCCATGGGTCTGCCCAAGAGCTTCATGGGCCTTTCGCGTCGTGATGTCCAGAATGGCCGTGTTAAGCAGGTCGATGATGCCGAGCGTGCGACTTTCTCTCGTGACGGTATGTTCCAAACTTGCTAAAAAAAAACAATCCAATGAACCACATCGCTGACCATTCCAGAACCTCCCGCGGATATGATTGAGAGTGACAAGCGTGCTACTACTGCAGCTCCTGCAGCTCCTGCAGCAACACCCTCGCTCAATTAGATGAAGTGTGGGTATATATAGACCGGCCTTGTATAAATAGAAGCGTTCCTCTTTTTATTTTGTTCCAACATCGATTTTTTTTTTTTCCTTCTCTTCATTGACGCTCTGAAAACGGGGGACTTTCTCCAAAATCCCGAACCCTCCAAGACCCTAAAATGATGGCTTCCCAAAAAGACATTCACATTCGGAAAGTGCCACCCTGAACTCGCTAGTAGTTTCATTTTCTTCATTTTCTTCATTCTCCCCATTCTCCCCATTCTCCCCATTCTCCCCGTTCTCTTCATTTTCATATCTTTTATTCTTCAATTACCCTGTATTTTGTCAACACACCATGAACCCCAATCAGTGTGAGGTCGATCCCCAACCGCTGAGCTTTGTGAAGCAAAAGCTGGATCCGGATAAACAGTCCGTCTTACCAAAGCCAGAGTTGGAGGAACAGGATCCCTTTGGAGATGAAAGCCAAGCTGGCGTGAAGTACAAGACCATGGCGTGGTGGTGAGTGTTTCTCTTTTCCACAGGTAGAGCGAAGCTCATCTTTTCAACAGGCAAGCCGGTATGAGTAAGTCTATGTCTTGCATATTGCCCAGCATTCTCTAACAGACCCGATCAGTCATGATCGCAGAAACCATCTCGCTTGGTATTCTCGCGCTGCCCAAAGCGCTTGCGGTGCTAGGTCTTATTCCGTACGATCTCCTCTCCGTTGACTTGCAAAGGCTGAGCTAACCTTCCCTGTTCAGCGGCATCCTAACCATCCTTGGGGTTGGGACAATCTCGACGTATACTGCGTATACCATCGGACAATTCAAATGCCGCCATGTTCAAGTGCACAGCATGGCTGATGCTGGTGATATTTTGATGGGAAAGGTCGGACGGAGTACACTGGACGTGGCCCAGCTCATCTTTTTCGTGTTGGTGATGGGGAGCCATGTCCTCACTTTTTCGATCATGATGAACGTCCTCACTGAACATTCCTCTTGCACCATCATATTTTCGGTTGTCGGTTTACTCGCCTCGTTTATGTTGACCCTTCCACGGCGACTTGAGAGGCTTTCTCACATCTCCTCCGTGAGTTTTGTGAGTATCGTCGGAGCTGTTCTCACAGGTATGATTGGGGTCACCCTTGTCAAAGAAGGGCCAGTGCATGTCTCGGCCTTTTCGCCTTCGCCCAAAGTGCATGATGCGTGCCTTGCTATTGCAAATATCATCTTTGCGTACGCAGGACATGTTGCATTCTTTACCCTTTTCTCTGAGCTCAGAGAGCTCAGGGACTTCCCGAAGGCTCTGGCACTTCTGCAGGTGAGTGAAATGGTCTTGTATACGGTGGCTGCCATTATGATATATGCCTATATTGGGCCGACTGTCAACTCGCCCGCTCTCAATTCTGCTGGACAATTGTTTCGCAAGATTTCCTACGCAATCGCAATACCTACGGTACGTACCTCTTCCTCCGTGGACTTCTTCGGGTATGAGCTTAACCACTGGATAGATTGTGATCGGGGGTGTGGTGAATGCGCATGTTGCCGTCAAGTTCATCTACGTTCGTGTCTTCCGGGGAACGAACTCGATGCATAGCCGATCGTTCCTGGCGCGGTTACTGTGGGCCGCGATATGTGCGGCGCTTTGGATCTTGTCGTGGATCATCGCGGAGGGAATCCCGGTTTTTAACGATGTGCTGGGGCTGGCAGTGCGTACTACCCTATCTGACCCTGACCCCAACCCGCGAGTACTAATTATTCCTACTAGAGTTCCTTATTTGCTAGTTGGTTTTCATTTGGTCTACCAGGGCTGTTTTGGCTCTATTTGAACCGAAGTTGTTGGTTCCTGACTTGGCGACAGAGGGTGTTGTTCGGCTTCAATATCTTTCTGGTGTTTCTTGGATTTCTCATTGTGAGTTGTGTTCCACTGTAATTCGCTGGATTGAATTAACTCACGCTACCAGTGCATTATCGGGTTGTATTCGTCTATTCGGTCGATCTTTCACAACCTTCGCGAGGGTGTTGGGGGAGGCAGCTTCTCATGTGCCGATAACTCCCTATACTGAGGCACACTCACGCTAAAAATCTGATATGGGGGGATGGGCAATTACTCTTTGGGGCACAGCATTAGCGTTGCGGATACGAGAGACATAAGACGCGGAGAACTATCCAGCTGCATTGTATATGAATAAATTGAGTTCTCCTGCATAGTTTCACGGATGTAGATGCAAGTAGCCGAGAAGTCTGCTCTCCAACCAACTGGAGATGTGCCCGAGGGATCCTGAGCAAATTGATATGATGCGGGAAAGAGTAAGATTAGACGTCCTTTTTGGAGAATCCTGATAGTTACATGTACTATATATTATATATACCATGTAGATGTTTCCTACGTATACCATTGAATGTATTTATAAGTTCGGATTAAAAATAGGGGTATATATATGGGATAATATTAATAGACCATACACTAATGAAATGACTCGCAGAGGAGATTAGTGCCCGGGGAATCGGCTGCAGCTAGTAAGGTCGCATACCCGCTGACCAAAAATTAATACCTAGAGAAAAGAAATATAGAAAAATTAGAAAAAAGGAAAAAATAGGAAAAAAAAAAGAAGTCTAACGATTGAAAAGGAAACCATTAAAAAGTCCAAAGAAGGGGATATATAGCACCAAGGCCGTAATACATATAGTAGACACTGGAATATAACATCTCTTCTTAACTTCCAATAATTCTTCTTACCAACTTATACTAAATTATATTTTTTAGCCTAACAACTTCCCATATTGACTTTCCCCTCCTTTGGAGCAGAAGCCCGACGCATGTATTGTGTCCCAACCAAGACAGGGGGGGCATATTTGTTCCCTGTACAAGGCAAAGGCACGAGGGAAAAGTGGAAACAACAGCAAGGCATACATGCATGCCATCACACCATTTCCTCTAGAATTGAGGGTGTGACCAGGAAAATCCTTCGATTTTCTGGATTTCTTGTGTATTCAAGTCGCTTGGATTCGATCTTAATCCCAATAAACCCCCCTCCCAAGGCGGACCCCGAGCCCATCGGCTGTTGCCTTGCACGGACTGTAGAACAACCGTGTTGATCTTCGTGCAGATTTCACATGGGAAGGAAATGAAGCGGTATATCCCGGGATCTGATTCTGGTTATGGTTCTATTTTTTGGCTCAAAGCTGGAACCGGTGCCATGGGATACCAGAACCAGAACCAGAACCAGCATCAGCACAAGTGCTATGCAAGTAGGGTGAGATGGAGGATGGCAATGGGTCCCGTGATGCAGGACATTGGGCATCTTCGAACCCCACACCCGGTCCCTGTACCGCGCAAGTTCCAGAGACATCATGTGGAACCCCGGAAAAGAAAATGGAAGACCCTCTTGGCCAGTGTAAACGTGTTCCGATAGACAGGCAATTTCGGCGTAGCTAGTTGGGGACGCCATCGCAATTCGTGGTTTTCTGGTAACTGTTCCAGAAACGGGCTACGGCCCTCTGGGCGACGGTCGAGCCACGGTAGCGGGTAGTAAGGAAGTAATTAAACAGGGCGAACTCGTCTGGCGTGAGCACATAGCTATCTGGTTGGGCCTGGATGCGACTCCAGAGTTCGGTAATGGCAGCCTCCAAGACGGCGGCGGATTGGGCATTCACGGGGCCATCTTCGCATTCTCGAGCGTGTTCTAGGGCCTGTCGTATTTCCGGCCAGCTTCTAGATAGAGGAAGGTTGGGCATATCGTTGGAGAGGGAGTTTAGGTGTTCAGCTGGGGTGTGCTGGTTTTGGGAGTTGTTGGTGAGGGGGGTTTTCAAGATGTGTTTTTTTTTGGAGGGGAAAACTTGGGACAAAAGGGAAGATGTGCGCCGCGAGGGCTCGACACAAGCGAAAAGGGTTTCAGGCCAAGTAGAATGCGGAAGAGATGAGACTGTGCATAAGACCAAACAAGAAAATCCGAATGTTTTTTTTTTCCTTTCTTTTCTTTTTCATTAAATGGGAACAGGTGTGGAGTAACGGGAGAGGGAGGGGAAAACCGGGCCAATGATCCCGAAATGCTATGTCCAGAAGTGTGACATTCGATAGAAAGGTAAATGCAGAGGAATTAGTTGGCCTATAAGCTGTGGGACGTTCAGGAACAGGTCGGACTTCATTCCGAAATTGGGTGTTTCAAAGCGGAAAGATAGTCCACAGTGGATATGTTCTGTACGGAGTAGAAGGAGAGACTTGGGATGGGACCACCATTGAGACCTGGAAAGACACATAATCCATAAGGCCACAAGGGTGTAACGGAGTAGTCTGTCGGGATTGCGCCGCCTCTCCCTTGGCGTAACGGTTTTTTCGGGCAATTTTAATGACATGCTCCGGGCTAGCATCGAACTAAGCCGTCTCAGGAACCAGATGAGACGGTGGAGACGCGGAAACCGTTTTGAACGTTCCGGTGATTCGTCAATGAGTTATAGGGTTCAAGGGTCAAGGTCGCTTAAAGCCGTCGACTGTGAGGAACCAATTGCGGTTGGAGGAAAGGTCCATTCATGGCCCCAGAGCAATGTCCGGTGCATCAGTTAAGTGGAGTCCTGGTCCTTTGTGTGGTCCTTTGTGGTCCTTGCGGATGCGGTCCTTGCGGTCCTTGCGGTCCTTTGAGGCTCGTGGGCCTTGGATCCTCCGAAGCATTCCAATCATTGAGTCTGATATAGTATAAACACCGCGTTAGCGTGTTCCTTTCCAGATCACTCACACATGATTCATCCTTTCGGATTTATGGTGAAATGGCCTCGATCCCACCAATGGATGAGACATCACACAGTTTTTCTTTCTTTCTTTTTTCTCATAGTTAACTGTTCCAGGGGTTCGCCCGAAACCAAAACGCCGTGTTTCTCGGAATATTAAAATTGCCGGGTATGCTCCAGGGCTGTCCGATGCAGTCCGGTCACATAATCACATTCTGTATCCATGGATGAATCCCGAGGTATTCAGGCGTTCGCCTTTTGTGGCCTTTTTTTTTTTTTGTTTTTTGTTTTTCTCTTTTCTCTTGCCTTTTCTTTCCCATATTTTCTTCCGTTTGTCTGTTTACCCCTTTCGATAGAGGCAACGCGTCAACGTCAAATGACGCATTTAGTTTCATTGTTCTTGAATGAGGCCCTTTGCCGAATAGTTATAGAGCCCTAAGAACCGTAATTGGACCAGATTCAGATGGATCAAAACATCAAATTTCCAGAGGATGTCAAGTTCAGAATGCTCAGATGTGTTCCAGAGAGAGAGAGAGAGAAGGACGAAAAAGAAGAAAAAAGTGGGAGACTTTTTTTTTGTGCATTTGCCTTGTGCCTGGAACGGTCCCGCAACTTTAAATGTCCGGGTTCTCCCTCTTCTTCACTTCTGACTTCTTCCAACTTCTTCTTGCTCTTCATTCTACTCTTTCTACTCTTTACACTCTATACAGCTCTATACAGCTCTGGGTTTTGGACCAGAACGGCAATTCATGGAAGGCAAGACCTGGGTACTAGGACCAGGGCATTTCCACGCTCTCGGCCATATAGTATCATGAGCAGAGTTCTTGAATCCTGCTACAGCTACCGTTCACACAGCGAGTTTAGATTATATTGCAGGAATTTCCCCAAATGCAACAATCGTGCCACATACTGCGTCAGATGCAGATGGGGAGTCGCGGTCAAGTTTCAGGCCTGCATTTGTGTCGGAAGCCTCTCAAATTTCGAGAGCATATTCTCCTAGCTAAAACAGCCGACACAACGCGATATTCATGAAGATGTGGCACAACTTCCTTAGCTGTCAATCTGGAAATAATAAGGGAACAGGATCCCGAACACTGACCCGGGATGGTGAATCTTATGGCCTATATGAACCCTGAGGTACACTCCATCCTGTCTTTCAGACAGAATAAGCAGTGTGACTCTTCTAAGCCACTGGTAGTATTATTACCTTTCCGGTCTATCTATTCGTTTGACCCTTTGGGTCTCTTCCCGAGCCAATGTCTTCTCCTGGAACAACTTGCGTTGGCAGAGAGAATGATACTATTATGACACGCCATGTTATTATTGATCAATTGCGTCAATTGCTTTTTGGATGGCGATATTCACCACTGAAGCCAATGTAGCCAGTATCCTACCTAGGTATAGTTTTACATCCAATGGCTCAGGTCCATCCTTGCCTTTGATTGTTGCTTGACACTGATGAACCACCCTTGGGCTCTCTCTTACGTACTATCCTCAATGTTCTATAGTTCTTATATCAATTGTAGATCCTCGCACTTGGACACCTCTTTACTCATTTTGCTCCCGTATGTTTAGACAGTGTACAAACATACCTAGGTACTCGGTCTCTTTCTATTACTTTTATACGAACAATAACTACATTTGTAGTGCCCGGATGCAGGCGTTTCTATACCATACCGACATAAAAAGGCAAGCTCAATTGACTAGACTAAAAATTGGCAATAAAAATTTCTCAAGTTCAATTCTCGACATTTCGAGGACGAATAGGATTATCTCTGGCTTCGAGCCCTGGAGATCTATACCGCTGACTAAGCCATAGATAGTCCCGAGGTCAGATAAAGATTCCCCCACCAGCCATTTCAGCTTTTGATGTGCGCCGATCACGAATTGTGAGAACCCGATTTGCTTAAAATTGTTTGAAAAGAACAAAAGTCGGATATTGCTGCCATGGTTTTCTATTTCACGTCGACGGTCGTCGAACCCTCCGCCTTTATTTATGTCGGCAAGGACAAATTCGAGAGTATGCCACCGACTTGGTCATCCTAGGGGAATAAACTTTCTAACAGTGCCGTCAGACGAGGATCTCATAAAATATGGATTGGACAATGATGTCTGGTATGTTCCCCGGTATATACTTGCAGAACTTTGGGACTGATACTCTTGCGCAACAGGGTCAGTCTTTCCCCCTCCGACTTGCGACAGCGCCAACTGCCCTAACACCTCTATACACTTGCAGTTCCACGTCGACAATTTGTCAAGTGCACACGTCTATGTACGACTTCGAGAAGGCGAAACATGGGACAACATCGCCCAACCGCTTCTAGAGGACTGCGCTCAACTC